CTTATATTACACAGGAGCCCTCTTGATGTTGTGGTAAGATGTGGCAGGAGGAAAGCATTCTATAGTTCTATACTTTGGTTTCAATCATTTAGTGAGCCTGTGCTGTCCCCTTGGGCTGTGATCTTCACAACTGCTTCTCAGTCTTTCACCCTGATAGTTAATTGACATGGGAAAGCTAGAGGGGAATGTAGTTGGGTATTTTCCTTCTTCCAGATCAGTTAGGTTCTGGCAAAAAAGTCAATTAGGCTCTGGTAAAATAGTTCCTCTTGAGGGCCCACTTTGGAAAGTACCAGGGAATTTTTCTCTGATCTTCAATGTAAGAAGCTCACTAAAGTGCAGGACTTTTCCTAAGACTGGGCTCCTTGGGTTTTTTTACTTCTCAGACTTGTCCATATTAATGCTCCAGCAATTCCATCAGTTACCGTTTAGGTCTTCCTACCTTGACACTGGTTCTGATGGAGGTTTCTGCTTAGGGTTTCCTCTCCAGTAAGTTGCAATTCTCAATATACACCTCTCTGTCTTTTCAATTTTGGGGGCCATTCTTTGCCCTGTGACCTCAATGCTCTGTTGAATCTAAGAAAGTATCGATTTTTAGTTTGTCCAACTTTTTTCTTGTTGTATGGACAGAAGTAGTAACTTCTAAGATTTTTACATGCGAGACTAGAAACTAGAAGTTGCCACTATTTCAACATGAGACTTTAAAAAAAAAAATGAGACTTAAAGATTTGAAGGAGGAGGTTTCATCTGGTCTCAGGAGGTTTCCTCCTTAAAGAAGGAGGAAACACTTTAGAAAATTGCACGGTGGCCCCTAAATTCTCCAGCCTGACAGTGATGTGTCATTTCTATTGATATTTCATTGGCCAAAGTGAATCACATGGTCACACCTAAGTTTTAAAATGTGAGGAAATGTAACCCTCTAGTGTTCCTAGAAGATGAGCATTAGTAGTACTGGGGAACACCAGTGACCAGAGGTGACCAGAGCTTTCTATATAAGATAGTATTTCCAACTCCATTTACCACTTTGGTCTCTTACCATATCATCATCTTTCTAGCACTTTATAGTACTATATTATAGCATACATAAGATATTATTAAAAAACCTATCATGGTAAATACTCTGTTTATTATTTGTCTCTCCTCTCCTACCTCCACCAATGAGAGGATCATGGGAACAGGAACTTCGTCTATTTTAGTCACTTTTTATCCCCAGAACCCAGAATATCCAGTGTTCAGTGCATATTTGGTAAGTGAGTTAATGAATATATTTTGTTTTAACCTTGGGAGCCCAGAAAAATGAACCCTTGTTGAACCCTTTACATCAGCCGAATCTGGCTCAGAAGCTATCTTTCCGATAGGAATGAAGCTGCATAGCCTTGTGCAGAGCCCTTGTCAGGCTAGTTGGGCATATCCTTTGCTATTAGACAGCAAGGAAAGAATGAAAAAGCATCAGAAGTTCCCTGGAACATGGTGCTGTTTGAAGGCAAGGGTATACACAACCTGAGGGAAAATGAGTTTGAAAATGAACTTAGGCTTTTAAACAATGCAGGCAAAAAGTGTCAATAACTTGAAAAATAGGTAAATTCTCAGTTTAACAATCTTCTCATCTCAGGTTTGTTTATAATCAGGGATATGCAGTTTTCATTCCTCACTGGAAAGCAAAAAGCTAAATCACCTCTTGAATATGAAATTTAGATACAATGCTTGGAACATTCTCCTCAAAGAGCAGACCTCCCAGATCCTGTGCTGGTTCAGGCACATTGTCTTTGTGCTTTTTATGCTTATTATTCACTCTGAGCTTAATGAGTGCGTTCAGGCATGTAATGAAGAACAACACCATCACACAAACAATTCATTGAAGTCCAAAGATATGGTGATTTTATCAATTATATTATTCAGTAGAGTAAATTTACAATTTATTAAAAAATACATAGATTGAGTGGCATCTGGAGCACTGTTGTGTTGACACTCAGGGTTTTTGCAGCCATGCTGCAAACCAAAATCTCGAATTGATGGCATTTGATACAGTGTAAAGCTTTTGTTTTTCTACTTGCTAGAGGAAATAGATGAGAGCAATGCAGTTGTGGATCACAGGCCCTCTGGTGTGAAATTCATCCTAACTAAGCTGAAAACACTTGATGTCCAAAGGCACAGATTCCCATAGCAAATAATCTTCATTTTCACCTCCACTGGCTTTGGCTAATGGGATGAACACAAGGCTGGAAGGCAAGTGAACCCCACTAGTTATCCAAGAGTTACTTGATGTAAGCAAATTACTTGCCTTTTTTCTCTTTTCTTCTTTTTAAAAATAAAGTGTTTTATAGAGTTTTCAGAGCATGTTTATATATATCTTATTTAATCTTACAACAGCTCAGTGAGATTAGCTGGTCAAAGGTTCTCACTTGCATTTCTATGTAAGGGACACTCAGAGAGTTGAATGGGAAAGAGGTCAGAGATTTTGACCCTAAGCCCAATGCTTTTTTTTTTTTTTCCTTCATTATACAACAACGATGCTCTGGACCTCAATTTCCTCATTTCAAACCAAGGATAAATATACTTAGTTTGTTAACTTAAGTTGTGGGGATGGCAAAAGATAGTTGAATTTTAAATGTTGTGATTAGGCAAAGCCTTATGCAGTTGAAAAATTATCATCTTGCTTATGTTAAGTCCAAGGGCTCTTCCTTAGACCGTAAAGCCTTCTTCTCCACATTCTTCAAAAAAAAAAAAAAATGTCCAGCACTGATACATGTGTATAGACCCCTGGAACTTTCCATTGAAAACATTTAGGAATGAGCTGTCTTAAAGGAAGAGTGGAAAGTCATTTAAAAGCAGCCAAATAGCAACTCAGATTTGGCCCTCTGTAGGGAGAGTTATCAAATTAAAAAAAAATTTTATGATAACTTGTTGATTTGCTTCAATGTTGTTCTGTTTATTTTCTAGCTCATTGATAAGGTGATCCTCTTACTTTTGACTAGGCATTGCCACATGGAGCCATGATTTTCAAGGACAGCAATACAAAAATAAATAACTATTTTATATTCTAAAATATGTTATGACTGATTCTTTTCTCAAGTATATAGAGCAGGGGTTGGAAAACTTTTTCTGTAAAGGACCAGCATTTTTAGAACATATAGTTTCTGTCACAAATACCCAACTTTACTGTTGTAGAGTACAAAAAGAGGCATAAACAGTATTTAAGTGGATGAGCATGTTCCAATAAAGCTTTATTTATGGACATTGAAATGTGAATTTCATATCATTTTCTAATGTTATGAAATATTATTCTTTTGATTTTTTCCAACCATTCAAAAATGGGAAAAACCATTCTTAGCTCATAGACCATACAGAAACAGGTGATTTGGTCCATGGGCCATGTTGATTGAAATCTGACCTAAAGCACAGGACAAACATTCACTTCTACTGTAGACCTAGTCTATACAAATGATTCTTTGAGTTGGAAAAGCATTTTTAGAGAGTCTGTTCTCACAATGCAAACTTCCAGCACTGTCAGCAAAGGCAATATCTAACAGCAGGGTTCTAGAAGTTAGGTAGTCATCTCTGCATAGGAAAGGTAAAAATACTTCCTCATCAAAGAAGGGAAATTAATTAGCACCATTTTGTATATAGCTTACAAAATCTTGGGGCAAAGGCAGTCTCACAGGGCTAAGTACTTCAGCATTCTCAATTTGGTGCTCAATAAATATCCTTTGAGTTAATTGAAATTCCCACACAAAGTTCCTAAGTTCTTTCTTACTATGTAGAATGAAGTGAACATGGACTATAATTGTCTGTTTAGAAGACAAGGGGTTAATGAAATGAACCTGTTAGTAGCACTCTTTACTGCTATTTGATGAAGGGTGATTATGAAAGACTTAAATGACAGTGAGATTTTACAAAAGTGCTAGGCAGTAGGGCAAGGTGTGCACAATATCTAAATGATTAGCCATTATGAGCTTGATAATACCCGTGACTAAGCTAATCTGTGGCTATAAATTGGATATCTATGGAACCTGCTAAATTCTTCCTAGATCTCCCGTGTATAATTTAATCATAATGAAGCAGCTAATTACTGGTGCGACCTATTATCTTGGAAGTTCACACATATTCTAAACTCCTTTGCCTCATAGTCAATGCCAAGATATGTTAGTACCTAACCTTTAGTTGGTTAAGAGCAAGACTGTGGATTCAGACAGCTGAGGTTCAAATTCCGCTTTGACATTTACTCAGTATGAAACCTGGGATACATTACATAGTCTCTCTTTGCTCTTGGTTTATTCATTTGTAAATAATAATGATAATAATGATAATAATAGTATTTAGGCTGGTTGGGATAGATTGCGTGCAAGCTAAATGAATCAAGGCATGTAAGGTTCTCAGAACAATTGCTGGAATTACGACTTCAGTAAATGCCAGCTAAAAATACACCTTTGGGTCCTAGTCTGATGCTATAAGCTGATGACTTCTCTAGTCCCTATCCCTGCATTAAACTCCACATAAGTTTTTCACTTGAAATACTTATGCATCTCTGCTTTGAAATAGAGTATTCATCTCAAAGTTATCATGCCCACAAAACACACTTGACTTCTTTCCCACCCCAAATCTGTTTTCCCCAAATTGAAAGAACTTTATTTTCCAGTTTTTTAGACTAAAAAACAAATACAATCCTGAGGTCATCTTTGACTTCTTTCCTTTTCTTACATTCCACATCCTATCCAATAGTATATTCTGTGAGTTCTAACAAAATGTATCTAAATCCAACTAACCCACCACCTTACCTATTATCCTAGTCCATGTCACAATTACCTTTTCTGTTCAGGGAGTTGTTGCTATTCTTTTCTTCGATCTCCTATTGAGTTCGTAGGTGTTCAGAATGGTTTGATCCCTATTCAGCTGAATTCCTGAGACCAGATGAAATCCAGGAGCCATCTTGCTCCACCCCCCCATGTCACAATTACCTTTTGCTTAGGCTGTGCTTGCAATAGCCTCCTAACTAGTCTCTGTTTCTGTCCATGATCCCCTGCTGTCTGTTCTCCATGCACCATGCACCATCTGCACCATGCTGTGTCCACAGTGTCTACACAGTTCCTGAAACATGGTCAGTATTCAATAAATGAATTAAATGAATGTTTGATTAAAATATTTTAAAGTTATTTGGCTTATAACCTTATGATAGGCATCGAAAGAATTTAGTTGAAAGTGATGCAAAATTCTAAATAGTCTCTTCTTTTCATGAAAATTGTCTTAATAATTCCTTTAGAAGTGAGTATAGGATGATAAGGTAGGACTGCATAACTTTGAAGTATCCATCAGACTAAAATTTTGTGAACCTATAACTTGATAAAAGCCATAAGACCAAGAATAAGGCAGACAAATCAACCTAGATGAACTCTTTGTAATATTCTAGAAAAGTGTACCAGGTTTAGAAAGTTTAGTTCTGTGAGCCCTGAATTTGTACCAGAAAGGTTGATTTGTGAGTCCTACATTTGTACCAGATATGTATATTTTATATTCACACCCAGTTAGTCAGGACCTACTATTGTATGAAAGAGAAAATACATTACGCTGTTAAATTAGATCTTTAACTAGGAAGTAAAAGAAAAATACTTTGTGTCAAACTATGAATCTCTAAATATCTTGCTTCTTTGGCAGTACTGTTCATTTATGAAACTTTTACTTAAGTATCTTAAAACAAATTAAAGTGTCTGGTATAATTTCTTCAAACTGCAAAGTTGTTGTTTAAAGTTATGTTTAACTATTGGGAGACTAAGTTTCAGGATGCTTTTAACATTAATGTCTGGTTTCTCTGACTTCTCTGGAGTGATTATGTCCAGACCAAGAGATGCTACAAAGGGCAATTGCCAGCAGCAACAGGCTCATCCTTTTGGTAGAGAACAAGGGGCTTGGTGGGCCATAGCCTGCTGCTGAAGGCTGGGAGGTCTGTTCTCTTCCTAGGCCACTTCTCGTCTATAACACCTCTCCTATCCATCCCCATTTTTTTCTTGAATAAATGAGAGATGTACATGATTTCTATGTCTGGAAAATTCAGAGAATCTTTTCTCTTGATTATTAGCAAGAAGAAACTTGAAAATATAAAGAAAGGGAGAAAGATAGAGAAAGGTAACCAGAGGAGAAAAGGAAAAAAGGAAAGGAGATAGGAAAGAAAATGAGGAAAGAATTCATTAATGCTTAATTTTTGAATGATGTTGAAGAAAGAAACTAATGTGTGTGTGTGTGTGTGTGTGTGTGTGTGTGTGTGCACGTGTACATACCTCTATGTGCTGAGAAGCCTTGAAGCAAAGCTGCACTTAAGCAAAGAGCACACCAGGAGCCAGGATCAGGGCTTCTTGGAGAAATGGCTGATTCTAGAACTGGAACAGGAAAGAACAAGATAGACCTGGAGCGTCTTATTGTAGCAGAACATAAGAAAGTGTCCAAAGAGTGACAGAGGCATGTCAAAGTGACATGAGAGCAGCCTGAATGGGCTTCTGCTGGGCAGATTTGGGAACAATGTGAGCATCAAAATATAATAAAAACAATAACAATAGTAATAATTGCAACCTATTATGTAAGTAAGAATTCATGAGTCTATTCTCATTTAAATTTTAAAAACCAGACCAATGGAGAGAGAAGAGAAAGCCACTCTTCTTTACAGCAGAATTATAACCAAAAAATGTAGAAGGGACGATAGAGTTAGAAAATCATCAATGTATGCTAAACCTGGTGAGTAAAATTTTGAAGAACCCGGATATTCACATAGACAAGTATCCCTAAACAAATTCTGTATTAATTACAGAGGGACAAATAGCTACTTTTCACTGAAGAAAGCTGGTGGATACCAAAGTAAACATCATCAACACTGGAACCACCGGTATCAAATACCTCCGGATATGGTGCAGAGAAAGACAAGCCATCACTTCCATGCCAGAACAAAAACTTGAATTTAACCATGAGAAAACATCAGACATTCTATGAAGTAATTGGTCTGTACTCTTCAAAAATGTCAAGGTCGTGAAAGTCAGAGAGTCAGAGGAAAGATTCCAGATAAAGATTAAAGCAACATGACAACTAAATATAATGTACGATCCTAGGTTGGATCCTGAACTGAGGAAAATGAAATAGCCATGTAAGACATTATTGGAACAATTGACAAATTTTGAATATAGACCAAGGATTAATATCTTTGCTTGGGCTGTCATAACAAAATACCATAGACTGGTAGCTTAAACAACAGAAATTCATTTTCCCATAATTCTAGAACCTGGGAGTCCAAGATTAGGGTGCCATCATGGTCAGTTTCTGGCAAGAACTCTCCATTTCTGTCGTAGACAGCTACATTCTCACTATGTGCTCACATAATCTCATTTGTGCACAATGTAGGGGAGGAAGGTAGAGAAAGTCTTGCTGGTGCCTCTTCTTAAAGGGCACTAGTCCCTCAGGCTAGGACCCCACTCTCATGACCTTATCTGACTCTAATTACCTCCCAAGGCCTCATCTCCAAATATCTTCACATTGGGGAGTTAGGGCTTCAACATATAAATTTGGGAAAGGGAGACACAAACATTCAGTCCGTAACATTCTGGTATCAATGTTAAGTTTCCTGACTGTGGGAACTATGCAGGGGTTATGTGAGAGAATGTTCTTGCTCTTGGGCAGCATACCCTAAAATTTTTAGGGGTAAAAGAACACACGGTCTCCAAATTATTGTCAAATGGTTTCAGAAAAAAATGTGTGTGTGTGTATATATATATATATATATGTATATATATATATATATATACAAATAGAGAGACCTAAAGAATAAATCAAATGGGGAAAAACAGAAACAATTGTAGAATCTGGGTAATAGGTATAATGGGATTTCCTTGTACATCAAACTAAAAAAAGTTTAAGCAAAATAATCCTTGGAGTTACAAGGTAGACCCTTTTTATCCTTCGCCAATCAACCTATTCTCTTCATCTGGGATTAGCAAGCTTCCTCTATTAATTTATTCTTTCCTGAAGAGTTGATTAGTCCTCTTTCAGAGAAGAAATAAAAATCTGAGGGTCATCAGGTAAACACGGCGAAAAAAATTCTCAGCATTCATGACGTCAGGTTAAAATCAATAATGTGGCATTTCCCTAAAGTGCAATTTAATAGGAAAATACAAAGTCCCACAGTTGAATTTAAAAAATTAATTGTTTGAGGGCACCTGGGTGGCTCAGTTGGTTAAGCAGCTGCCTTCAGCTCAGGTCATGTTCTCAGGGTCCTGGAATCGAGCCCTGTGTCGGGGGTCCCTGCTCAGTGGGGAGTCTGCCTCTCCCTCTACCTGCTGCTCCCCCTACTTGTTCTCTCCCCTCTCCCCGTGTCAAATAAATACAATGAAATCTTTTAAAAAATTAACTGTTTGGAACAAAGTTAAAGAAACAATTTAACAATTTCTTACATGAGTAATAATGAGCAAATAAAATATAAACTTAAAATACAACTAAGAAAAAAATAAAATTTTTAGCTTCTCTCTTAAAGTTGTCAGTAAGTCACCAGTTTTTCCTTATGGAAACTGTTTAGCTTTAATTGCATGTGGTTATTAACTTATAATCTATTTCTTACTGAAAACATAATTTTTAATGAGGCACTTTTATTCAGATACTAACATTTTCTTCTCTTTCTGCAGAAAGCAATAATTTACAAAAATAGGAACTGACATTGATCTTTTTAAAAATCATAACTTCCTTTTTTATCATATAGAGTTTATTTTGTCTGCCTTTCCAAAATCTGTGAACTTGAAATAACAAGAATATATCCATTCTCATTTTCCATTTAAGAGAAATGTGTCACCTCTCAAAATTTGCAATATATAAAACAAAAAATATTTATATGAGTTACAGATACCACTTTTATGCCCACATATGGTAGACTACTTGAAAAGTTTTTTTTTTTAAGATTTTATTTATTCAATTGAGACACAGAGAGAGAGAGAGAGAGAGCATGGGGGGGGGCAGAGGGAGAAGCAGGCTCCCTGCTGAGCCAGGAGCCCGATGTGGGACTTGATCCCAGGACCCTGGGATCATAACCTGAGCCAAAAGCAGACACTTAACCATCTGGGCCACCCAGGCGCCCCACTACTTGAAAAGTTTTATTCCTACCTAGGAGAAGGTAGGAGCTATGTTTCTAGATTTTTGCCTTCGGTCAATAATTTCCAAGTAGCGTTCTCCCATATATTCTTCTGAGGCCTTGAATGCTGTGTACTCGATTCAAGGTTAGCAATTTGAGCAGGTTTGGTAAATAGTGATCTACTTCGTGAACCGAGTGGTAAAAATCATCACAATTACTCCAGATATGGGCCTGTAATTACCCTGCTCTCCCTGTGACCTTAAAGAGTAGAGAACTGCATTCCATGGGGTTGAGACCTTGGAGACCTTGGAGGAGAGGCAGTGAAGATTAGAAGCAGGATTCTCTACAGGAATGGCTTGATGGATAGATCTGACAGTGGTGTGAATTGTGTGGACAACAGGAAGGCAGTAGGTGCCTCCAGCGTGTCTAGGCTGTCAAGGGGGAACCCAAAGAAGAGAGTGCTGTATATGTAACTTGTGGAAGGGTTTATAGAACAAAGAGAAGCCCCGTATCCATCTCCCTTTGTGCTGTAAGGAATCATACGGTCAGATGCTACCACTGAATTGTTGACCCCTCATCACTGTAAATTTATTGCCCGTTTTGCCTGATTCTTTACTAAAACACCATGTGTCTCACAGAAGTAATACTTTGTCTTTCAAATGCCTGTCATGGCAACTTTGTTCCTCTCCCAAAGCTTTCTCTCACACTATAAACCATTCTGCTTCACTTTTTTTTTTTTTTTTGCAGGATCCCCTTCCCTGGACCCGTGCTGAGGCTCCGTGTGAATCTCCAAGATCTCCCCGCCATCATGCAAGGTTTATCAAGCACGCACAGGAGCCCACCGTACTGCTCCGCCTTCCTTTCTGTGCACCCCGAGTAGACTGCAGTTTATCAGTGTGTCAGCTTGTTCGCAAGCCTGCTGTAGTCCCTCTAGCACATAGATTAATTTTTCTTCAGAGAGCCAAGAAGGGACATAAGCATTTTCCTACTCGAAAATCTGCCAGAAATTTCAAAACAATCTAAAAGTGTTAAAGGGTATATGCAGGGGGCGGAGCAAGATGGAGGAGTAGGAGACCTAGATTTCGTCTGGTCTCAGGAATTCAGCTGAATAGGGATCAAACCATTCTGAACACCTACGAACTCAACAGGAGATCGCAGAGGAGAGTAGCAACAACTCTCTGAACAGAGAAGCGACCACTTACTGGAAGGTAGGGCGTGCGGAGAAGTGAATCCGAGGCGATATTCGGGAGGATAGATGGCGGGGGAGGGGCCTCCGCCGGCCGCTTCTGGCAAGTGATAGAGCCGCGGAGCACAAAATCGGACCTTTTAGAAGTTGGCTCGGCGGAGGGACGTCGCTGCAGTGGCTAAGCGGGGGGTGGAATCCTCCCGGGACAGTGTGGTCTCAGGACCCTTGGGGTCACGGAGAGACCGGGGGTGCCTGAGTGCGCCAGAGCTCCCAGGTATCAGAGCGGGGAAGCCGGCTGCAGAGACGGAGCAGAGTCGCGGGCTCTCAGCTCGGGGTTGCCATAAACTGTGATCTGCGGCCCAGTTGGGGCACGGCTCCCCCAGCAGGGACCCAACAAGCAGCAGATCCGGGGAGACTCCCCTTCCTTCCCGGGGAGGAGCGGTGCGGGAACGCACTGCAGGGATCTGCTGGGTTTGGAGACTCCGTGCGGGGTCGGGTGCCAGAGATAGCAACGCTCGATCACAGGCTGGGTGAGCACGGAGTGCGGCCGGAGACTGGGGACACGGGAGTGACTGCTTTTCTCTGGGGACACACTGAGGAGCGGGGCCCCGAGTTCTCAGCTCCTCCGGGTGGAGATTGGGAGGCCACCATTTCTGCCCTGGTCCTCCAAAGCTGTACCGAGAGCTTGCAGGGAACAAAAGCTCCTGAGAACAAACCGGAGCAGCTTCCTTAGCCCGGACCGACAAGGGAGGGGCAATTCCGCCTCCGGCAAAGACATTTGGAAACCACAGCAACAGGCCCCTCCCCCCAGAAGATCAGCACAAACAGCCAGCAAGCCAAGACCAAGTTGATCGATCAAGGAGAATGGGAGAACTCCAGCGCTAGGGGAATACTGCACATAGATTCATGGCTTTTTTTTTTTTTTTTTTTTTTACCATGATCCATTATTTCATCAAAGTTAATTTTTGTTGACTGTTTTTTTTTATTTTTCTTTTTCCCTTTTTCAACCAACATCTTATCAATCCCTTTTTTAAAAAAAAAAAACATTTTTTATTTTTCATTTTTAGAGTCATATTTTATCCCTTCATAGTAGTTACCCTTATTTTTGGCATATATATATAAGTTGTTCTCTCTTTAAAATTTTGGGGTACAGTTTCTTCTAACAGATCAAAATATACCCTAAATCACTAGTGTATGGCTTTGTTCTAGTCTCCTGCCTGATCACATTCTCTCCCTTTTTCCTTTTTTTTTTTTCTTAAATCTTTCTTTTTTCAAACAACTTATCTTACCAAGTCCTTTTATAAAATCTTTTATAATTTTCATCTTTACAGTCATCTTCCATCCCTTCATTGTATCAACCCTTATTTTGTACATATATGTCTTTCTTCCTTTAAAATTTTAGGAGGCACTTTTTTCTAACAGACCAAAATACGCCCAAAATCTAGTGTGTGGCACTGATCTATGCACTAGCCTGATCATATTTGATCACATTCTGCTTTTTTTGTATTGTTCTGGTTTTGTTTTTATCCTTTTTTTTTCCTTTTTTTTTTTCTCTTTCTTTTTTCTTTCTTTCCCTTTCTTTTCCCCTGGTTTCAGGTCTTTTCTGATTTGTATACAGTATATTTGCTGGGGACGTTGTAAACCTGTTAGCATTTTGTTCTCTCATTCATCTATTCTCCTCTGGACAAAATGACAAGACGAAAGAAATCACATCAGCAAAAAGAACAAGAGGTAGTACCGTCAGCCAGGGACCTACTCAATATGGACATTAGTACGATGTCGGACCTAGAGTTCAGAATCATGACTTTAAAGATACTAGCTGGGCTTGAAAAAAGCGTGGAAGTTATTAGAGAAACCCTTTCTGGAGAAATAAAAGAACTAAAATCTAACCAAATGGAAATCAAAAAGGCTATTGATGAGGTGCAATACAAAATGGGGGCACTAACTGCTAGGATAAATGAGGCAGAAGAGAGAATCAGCGATATAGAAGACCAAATGATGGAAAATAAAGGGGCTGAGAAAAAGAGAGAGAAACAATTACAGGATCACGAGGGCAGAATTCGAGAGATAAGTGATACGATAAGACGAAACAACATTAGAATAATTGGGATCCCAGAAGAAGAAGAAGAGAGAGAGAGGGGGGCAGAAGGTATATTGGAGCAAATTATAGCAGAAAACTTCCCTAATGTGAGGAAGGAAACAGGCATTAAAATCCAGGAGGCACAGAGAACCACTCTCAAAATCAATAATAATAGGTCAACACCCCGACATCTAATAGTAAAACTTACGAGTCTCAGAGACAAAGAGAAAATCCTGAAAGCAGCTCGGGAGAAGAGATATGTAACCTACAATGGTAGAAACATTAGATTGGCAACAGACCTATCCACAGGGACCTGGCAGGCCAGAAAGGACTGGCAAGATATCTTCAGAGCACTAAACGAGAAAAATATGCAGCCAAGAATACTATATCCAGCTAGGCTCTCATTGAAAATTGAAGGAGAGATAAAAAGCTTCCAGGACAAACAAAAACTAAAGGAATTTGCAAACACGAAACCAGCCCTCCAAGAAATATTGAGAGGGGTCCTCTAAGCAAAGAGAGAACCTAAAAGCAGCAAAGAGCAGAAACGAACACAGACAACAGACAGTTAACAGTCACCTTACAGGTAATACAATGGCACTAAATTCATACCTTTCAATAGTTACCCTGAATGTAAATGGGCTCAATGCCCCAATCAAAAGACACAGGCTATCAGATTGGATTAAAAAACAAGACCCATCAATATGCTGTCTGCAAGAGACTCATTTTAGACCCAAAGACACCCCCAGATTGAAAGTGAG